GGTGGGGGTGTGGGTGTGGGTGTGGGTGTGGGTGGGTGTGGGTGTGGGTGGGTGTGGGTGGGTGTGGGTGGGTGTGGGTGTGTGTGGGTGTGGATCTTGTCTTCCACAAAACTCACACCCACACCCACGCGCACACCTCACACCCACCCACACCCACCCACACCCACACCTCACACCCACAAACATCAAACACTTTCTTTTATAAAAGAAAGGATAAAAGAAAAATAGAATTTTATGATCGTTGTCCCAGGCTTCTGTCGTAAAGTCAATTCAATCCTAAAACACATTTCCAAACTGGACTTATCGTTTATGAAATTATAAAACTTTCGAATTATACTGCTATTCAGCCATTAGTCGACATCGAAACAATTGATTTATATGAAAACATTGAACACTAGATGTTGTTATCTATGTTTGCTGCATGGTTCGGCAACAAAAGAAAAAGATTGTACACCTGATCATTGGACTCAGATCAGAGTGACGAAACAAGTATTGCAGCCTAGCAAATTAGATTTAGTACAGGTTTCATGTATAATATGTTATCGAAGTTGCTAGACTCCAGGTTTCAGATAAATCAATCAATGAGTTGAAATAGTCTCTTATGTATCTATTGATATCAAATGAATTTTGGTTTCGAGCTTTTAACAAGCTTGCATTCGATAATTGCTGTGTGATTTTTACTCTATTGTACATATTTTCTCCATGAATTGATACTCGATTATAACGGAGAACAAGCAAGTTTCTTATTCTGATTTTATAGTGATCTTATGGTCGACTAAATGTCATTAAAGATGTACAAGTCGTCTTCTAGCAGGAACCATGGTACACTTCTAATTGAAGTACTCGAATAAACAATATGTTCTCTTTTAATTGTCTTAGCATTCTTTCTTTATTGCACGATTTTTTAGGAATTTCATGGTTTTCGAATGACTAAAAAACGATGTAATGAGTAAGACAAATGCCATTCAACTTCAATGCTCGCCATTAGAAGAACGGTCTATTCTTTGCATGAAAGACAAAACGTTCTTGGCTCACCTACGCAACACTCGCATTTACCATGGCAATAATCATCGACGATGATGAAGTGTTCAATCGAATCCTAAACAATCTACAAGGACAAATATCTTTCACTCACTTCGCTATGTCATTGATTGCATCAATACTCTTATATTTATTTATCATCTATATGAATTCAATTTCAATGAGGTTTCCACAATGCAATTCATCAAAATCGATTGGATTCTTCGTCACAAAAAATATAATTATTTCGCTTTCTGTTAGCGGCTGCGAATGCCACGCTTTAGCATATTCTATCAATAGAAATATTCAAGTCACAACTCGATAGAGGGTGTCGGTGTGGATGGGTGTGACTGCGATGTAAGTTTGGTTGAACTAAAGACTCACACCTACACCTCCACACCTTTCTCGCAGAACACTACCGATTACCAACCATTGATTATCAAAACATGGTATAGATATTGAAAAATTTTCAGAGCTAGACGATATCCTCATAGAGTAAATCGAATACTCACAAGAAGGAAATCATTCATCCATTTCCACTGCCTTTAGAAGAAGACAAAAAGACTTAAGAGGATGTGAATAATATTACTATCCCACCATATGAAGAAATTCTAGTAGAAACAGATTTTTTCCAGCAAAAGTTTAAATCATTCAAAAAAAAGTATTTTGTCCATTTCTATTTCGATAATGAGAAGTGAATACTGAATTATAGTGCATAAAATGGTGATTGGTATGGATACATGTATATTATTGCTTATTATTTCTTCTTGGTGAAGTATTTCTTTTTGGCAAATATACCGTGACAGACATATGCTTGCTTTGTGTTTCATTTTTTCTTAATGTATGTAATTTCATATGACGTAAACCATTTCTGTATAAATAGGAACAATGTCCGAATGCGTTGGTCCTATTATCTATTGCTGACTTTTTCACTATAAGAAGAATTTCTAGTAGAAATGGTTTTTTTTTTCAAACAGAAATGTAAATTATTTAAAGAGAAGTGCTTCATTCAATTCTATTTTCATGAATAGAAGTAAAAAACAATGTGACGTTAGTGCATGAAATAGTGATTGGTTGACGTATGTTTATATTTTTTTTTTCATTTCCGCTCTTCAACATGTGTATATTTATAGGATGAACCATTTCTCAAGGGGGAAACAGCAGAATCCAGTCCCTTGGATTCAAGTGGATTCAGGTGGCTTCAAGTGGATTCAGGTGGATTCAAGTGGATTCAAATGGATTCAGGTGGATTCAAGTGGATTCAAATGGATTCAGGTGGATTCAAGTGGATTCAAGTGGATTCAAGTGGAGTCACATGAAGTCTCGTAAAATGATTTCCTATTTTTCTGAAATCCATTATAAAAATTCGATACTTCTATTTTTTTTGTTTGTATCGTGTGCACTATTAGATAAAATTTTTATTAGTCTTGATTCGGATACAAGCATACATTATCTTTTTTTATTCTCATACAGCACATTCTTTATTTCAAGACTTGAAAGTCAGTAAAGCGTTGTTCATTTTATTGAAAATAAATGAAAAAAGTATTATATAAAGAAAAAAAAACAATCAACTTTTTTTATTAATCTGTTGTACTCGAAGCAATCGATCGTTTGACATTTTACTTTTTTCACCAGTTAATAACCAACAAGCAGTCTGTTTATGTATATATTTTATATCATCATTGATTGTAGCTTTAAAATAAGAATGTTCTATATGTGGCTGCACCATATTAAAAACTTTCATTCCAGAAAATTCTTCTCTTGTTGTATTTATTAAATTTCGAGTATCATCTTGTTCATCTTCATCATCGTAGTCATCATTTGAGGAAAAACCATCATTAATGTTAAGATCAGCTGCTGTTCTATTATCGTCATCATTATCATCATCATCATCATCATCATCATCATCATCATCAGCGATTTCAAATTCTCCATCATCCATCTGGCTGAGTTGAGATGAGTAGTCGTACATCTTTGAATTTGAATTTAACTGTTTAAATACATATTCACTTAAGGGTTTTAAGCCAAGAACATTTTTATCGTTCAGTAAATTCAATATTTCTAAGCCATTAAGCATATCAATTGCTTCATGATAAGCCTCGGTAATGATTTGTTCGACATCTATTAGATCGACCTCTCTTTGACTTTGTGTAGCTAATGATTGATGATCATGTCGATGTTTGTAATGAACTGGAAATACTAAATTATTAACTGATCTATCATTTAAATGCTTGAATTTAATATCATTAAGTAGTGACAATCTTTGAGCACGTCGTAAAAAATCATGTACAGTGAAGTTGACTATAGTTGAATAGACTCCACTTAATGCGCGCGTGTTTCGAAAAATTGATTCACAGGCTTGCGAGCTAAAAGTATGAATATGTAATGATTGTGGTGGTAGTTGTTTTTGTTGAACAAGTAAAATTAAATATAATAAATTATGTGCATTTATTTCCACGGACAAATACGCTGGTCTAGTAATAAAATATCTGCTTTTGTTTTTTTCTGAGAATTGTGTTGTATTGAATGTTTTCAATTTGATCCATGTTAACCATATTCGACAGAAAAATACAACGCACCAAGCAGATCGAAGACCTAAAATAAAGTTTTATTAGATGTGATACATCTGAAGTGAAGAGTTTGACGCTCTCACTCAAGCAGCATGAAAAAAGCATACTGACGCGCAACAATCGTTGTTTTTTTATCAATATAAGCCATTATAATCATTTTTAACATCTGTAGATAAATCAAGGTTCCCTGAGTATCAACATTGTCTTTTAAAATTTTAAATAGATCATCAGATGTTAATTTTACACAGGAACTAAAATTTTGACGATCTTTAGGATTAACATCAGATTTCGTCAAGCCATGATCAATTTTAGTAAATTTTCCATTATCAATAATGCTATATAAATGATTGGTCGATATTGATTGGTCACCAAGACGTAATTCAGCTGTAGACGATAATAAACGATTACGCCATTTCGTAGCTAGATGTGTCGCATCTTGAAAAAATAATAATAGTTGTTGTTCGCGTAAAAAAAACCCAGGCCAACGTGATTTTAATTTTACTGTAAAAGCTTGCTGATGTTGATGAACTGGAAAATTTGGAAGAGATGCAAAAATCCACTCATTAATCTCATAGCACGCACATATTTAGCATCAGCATCTATAAAAAAAAACAGTAACTCTTTGATAAAATTTGAATTAAAAATACTTAGTTATTTTCTCACCAGTAGCAAAACCAATAATTCTTATATTTCTTTGTAAACACTGATTGAATATATACCACCATCTTTGTAATATATCATTCGCTGTAGCCGTATTATCAATACCATATGCTGATAGTAAAAAAGGACTTGGAATTGTGTTTTGAGTTGTTGATTGTACTGGTTGAATCATATGTACATTTAATAATGATGATTTATCAATTGAATTGAACCATAACTTCAATGTATCCAATGAATCAGTGTGATAATATTCTTTAATTGGTACCCCATGATCAAGTGGCGTAGGAAATCCAATAAATTTATTTGTTATTGAATCATATTTTATTTTTTTAATAACACCAGTGGCATCCTCAGAACCAAATGCATATTGAAGATTCAGATTCCCAAAATGTTTTTGAAGCTGATCGAATCGAAATTCTGCTTCACTAATTTTTAAATTTGAATTTGAAATTAATGTAGTCAACATTGTTAAACTTGGTAAAGAGCCGGGTATATTTAATCGAATAAATTCATACGTTAATTTTCCACCTAAAATATATAACGATAAAGCGAAGTCCTTGATTTTGTCACTGTATCGAAAATGATTGCTTGATTTTGTCAAGTTATTAGTAACAGTATTAATAAAATCTATTAAAAAACCATTTTTGTCTGTATTAGTAACACCTTCACTTTCAATTCGTTGATACCAAAGAACCAAGTTTTTTAACAATGGATGTTTGTTGATAAAATCGAATGTTAAGTTTGAATCTACATCCATATAACTATCTTCACTAATTTTGTTTTGTTGTTGCTTTAAAAAATCAAGTAAATAATTTAAATTATTAATTAATCCGACTTTTACGATAAATTGACCATCTTCAAGCTCCAAACATGACGTTTTTCTAATCGACAAGAAATCAGGCTCTGAACATTTCATATTAAATATATCAAAAATATTTGGATATCGAATTAAAGATTGTGTAGATGTTATTGATTGAAACTTTAAAATGTCCACTATTTGTTGTCCAACTAATGTATGAATAAAACCATAAAATTCATCGTTTTTTAAATAAAACACATTATCTGTCATCGTATTATCCATCAGAAGAAAAATAGTGAGTCTTTTATTTATCTGGAAAAAATAGAAAACATAAGTTGAATAATGTTAGTGTAGAATATGTTCAAAGACTCTGAGTTATGACAGTTAAAAAAATTCTAGTTGATAAACAGCTGTGATGAATCATATACCGATAATCTGTAAAAAACTATTATCGTAAAGATGGAATGTCGCTAAAAATCAACAAGTGTTAATGACGATATATAGAGGCAAATTTTTCAGAAACTATTGGCTAATTCTTTTACTGGATTATGATTCATGATTCAAAGATGATATCCATTATATTTTCTTCCTTTCAACATGTGTCATTTGGGAGAGAAGTTTTTCTTTATAGATAATTATATTTTTCCTTATAGATAATTGATAATATATTCAAACATGTTTCAAACAGATATTCTTATTGATACATCTGTATTGCCATCAAATATAATGTCATTACGTGATGATAATTTTATTGATTTTGTTAAGGAAGAGGCTGGCCATGCTGCTGCTGCTCTACTCGAATTACAAGGTATTAATAGTGTGAAGTCATTGTTGATGACAGATGATGTTTATTCTATTATGAACGTGAAGAGCAAAAGTCTCGATGCATTTAAAAATAAATATGGTTATATGCAAGATGATGGTACATGTATTATACAACCTGGTGTTAAAGGAAATATAGAATATCTCATTAGTTTGTTGAAGAAAAAATGTGTTGATGATGCAAAATTAGTTAAATCTTCGAAACGCAATCAGTTATCATCATCGTTAACTATAACTACAGATACATCATCAACAATAAGAAAACCTACATCATCTGTTGTATCCGATAGCTCACCAGAAACTATACCATCAAAATCTTCTAATTTATCACTTGCTGAACATAAATCATATATAATTGATACATTAAATAACTGGTGCAAGAACAACAAATCAAAAGACGATAATGAACGATTTTCTTTAGTTGAAGGCAAGGATTATTTTATTTCATTACAAAATGATTCAAGTGGTACATTAAAATGTAATATAAAGTGCTGCTGTGAAAAATGGACAACATTAGTATTTAGACGTGGAAAATTTCAACTGTCAAATTTCTATCGTCATTTACAAGGTTTAACTAATGAATGTCCTGCATTAAAAAAAAATACTAATAATCCTCCAGTATCATCACCATCATCAACAAATAATCAGCAACCATTGACCACATCAGATAATGTACTTCAACATATTGTATCACCAAATTCGATGCCTATTATACCACCATCAAATACAATACAATCGAATTCAACTTCAGTCACAGCATCTTCTATCTCCAAGTCAACAGAAGATGATGAAAGTTGTGATGAAAACATTATTGAACAACCATCATCATTAAAAACTAAAAGACAAGTGAAAAGAAAAGTTCAAACAATAGAATCTTCACATAACACAAGAGAATCAGCAAAAAGAACAAGAAGAAGATAATTTTTATATGCCGAACATTGTCTTGTTTGTACTTCTTCGATTACTTCTTTCGTGTTCTCTTATATAGTAAGGTTTTATATTAAATTGATGTTTTTAACTTAATAATTCACTTATTTTTTTCTTTTATCGTTAATCGGTTCTATCAAGTATTGAATTTTTATATTTTTATGTCCGTTTGATTTTTATTTTTATTTTACATTTTCCAGTTGGTTTTTAAACAAATAAATAATATAATTATTGATAATAAAAAAACTTTTTAATATAAATATTTCTTGATTGATTCCTGCAGTCTTCGCAAATATTCTTTTTGTTAAATTTTTTTTCTCTACTTTCAATAGAGAATTGAGAAAATGAAAACTATCATATTTTTATAATTCTAAGAATTTCATATCAGAGCGGATTCAAGTGGATTCAAGTGGATTCAAGTGGATTCGAGTGGATTCAGGTGGATTCAAGTGGATTCAAGTGGATTCATGGATTCATGGATTCCGCTGTTTCCCCCTTGCCATTTCTGCATAAGCTCAAACGTTGTCTCCATCGATTGGTCCAATAGTTCATTGCTGATACTTACAACCTACATCTACATCTTTATATAATCGTCTTCATATTATGAACATTGGTTTGAATCGGTCTTTCTTCAAAAATATCTGATAGGTATCCAAGACTAAGGAAAGAAATCAAGCAGAAAAAGTAAACTTATGAAATTAAAAAAAACAAATTTGAAAGGTTGGATCATCCATTCCCAGAAGTTCTGAAAATCATACCAATCGAAATCCGTTAGAAATCATCACACATAGGCCGTTTGAGAGTGTCAAAATTTTAGGTCAGTCTTTTTTTACTGTCGCTATTCGATTGACTTTGAGTCAGTGATGCATGAGCCGCTTTAGGTTCTGGAAGCTCATTAGATATATCGAATAGCAAGGTTAACTATTGAATGATATTGCATAAATAAATTCGCAGTACTGGCTAACATCTTTTTTTATGTCGAACAACGTGCTGCTTGCTTGAAATCTCTGTATTTGTCGAAGTTTTTACTGATTCTGCAAATGATTGGTGTGGTGAAAAAGATTAAAATACGGAACCGTCGATGCAACTATGTACTGCAAGTATGGTTATAGTTGTTTTTGCTAGTGTCAATATGTATCAATGTGCGTCTTTTCTCTTCATTCACACGCATACTCAAATAATTCTAAAATTCACACTCATAACCTCATCAGGCCAATAAAAAAATCATTCTTTCCCTCGTTTCATTCCATGCCACGCTTTGGATTGAAGTCTTTATTTCTTTTTTTTCTTGCTTTTGAAGAGTACAAAAGTAAATATGTGTGCCTTTCAAACGTAGTTTCTTTAATATTCAGAAGCAGAGACAGAATAAGAAGCGTGTCAATGGGTTCATAGCATCTCACGTTATGTACAACGCAGCAATTGCAACTTGAAACAAATATTCTGTTGCGAAGAAGAGAGAGCAGAATTTTTTTTTATTTCTATTTCTTCCTTTCTTTCTTTCTTTTTCTCTCCAATGATGATCGTTTTTCTTCACAATACAGAGTGTGGTGATACATAAAAAAGCACAATTCGCCTCAACATTCAAGTTTCGGCATATGAATTTTCATTCTGTTACCTGAATTTTGCCATCCATTTTGCAACCCTACAGATCATTTGATAGAATTAAATAATAAGTAAATCCATATTGTTTACTACAATGAATAAAATATACTTTGCATGTTAAACCTAATGAATTCTTCATCTATCAGGAAAAGGCATTCTGATCAGCCACATGTTCCAACTTTATACGTCCAATAAGAGGTAAAAATTTCTGAAAAGCACCTTTAGAATCATTGATGAAGGATGCTTGAGTGAGAGAGTCAAGAGAAAGATCAGTAAAAATAATAGACCGATTGACGAATTAGTGGCCATCAACGAACGAAAGCTAATAGGATAAGTATGAAATCCAGTATACCTACAAAAATTTGATGTTCTTTATTCGATAGTATGTTTCTGAATTTTTGAGTATCATGTAAAAAAAAATATAAGCTTCATAATACATTATATTATTATAGCATAAACAACTGTGATGCAGCTGTACAATTCGATCATCGCTCATTCTCATCGAAGTTAAAAATTTTCTACAATATTACATCTACCAATAATAAATTTTCAAGCTCATCTTTGTAACAGATTCTGTGCATGATCTATTATGATGATAAGAAGTTCTTTTGCCACGAAAGTCATCTACCTGATAGCTCTTTTAATTGGGCTTCATATGATCTATTTACGTCGATCGAAATCATTCGTTCCCACTAAAGTTACAACATTAAACATTTGGCGTGATCCTTTGTTTATTATCCTTATGGCATCTTATATGCGAAAAAATGGCCGAACACCATACTACATAAAAAAATCAGTTCAATCAGTACTCTCTCAATCGTACTCCAACTGGGAACTGTTCGTTACTGGGGACAAGTACGAAAACGAAACAGAATTTCGCTCACTTTTCTCGCGTATACCACCGTCAAAGTTATTTCTCCACAATCTACCAGAACATGGAGAACAAGGTAAACTAACTGGCTATCAATTATGGCAAAGTGGTGGTGTTTCAGCTATGAACAATGCATTACAGCGAGCTTATCAACATCATAATATTTGTAGATCAAATTGCAACATATATTTTACTAATCTCGATGATGATGATACTTGGTCTCCAGACCATCTAAGTGAACATCTATCGATCTTCACGCGCTTTCCATCAGTAGTTTTTGCATGGTCTAAAGGATACTATTGCGGTGTTGGCGGCAACCCATATCCACCTACAACAGTCCCACAAGACAAAGTCAACAATTGGCCGGCAAGTTTTGGTAGTAACATACTACATTCTTCTTGGTCATGGAAAATGGAAGTTTTTCGAGGTTTCCAATACCGTGCACAATGGGATTTTCCTCCAAATTATACGGGACCAAGAGAAGCGGACGCTGATTTGTTTGAAGTAATACGTGCATATATTACCGAAAACAAGTTACATTACTATCACAGCAATCGAGCTACAATCGAACATCTCGTCGAAATGGGAAAAATGTGTCCTAAAAATGGACCATTATTTTATCCTGACTAAAACAAAACGATCCTTTTTCATATTCAGTACAAAATGACTGCGCGAGAAATTGCAACGAATGAATGCAACTAAACAAAGAGTTTGATGATGTTCCTAAATACTGAATTCTTTTCTTCTTTTTTCATGTATATATATAAGATAGAGAATCCTATATTTGGTAAGGCCAACTCATTTTTTTTCTAAAATAGTAATAAAAAATAGTACCTTCATGTAAAGAATAGTCGACTGCTCTTCGAATATCATACGAGAATTTATGACAATAATTAATCTAGGAAGCTTTGAAATCAAGTTCGATTACAACTATTCGAGTTTTCATTTATCTAGCTTTAAGGCATATGCTATAGTCAAGTATGAATATGGATAGTTCCCTCGAAAATCTTGTACATTTACGGTAATCATCCTCATTCAAACTAAAACTCTCAGCGACTAAGATCCTCACTATGCCAGGACCTTTCACAATTCTAACAATCTTCAATTGGCACTATGCTACTGTTGAAATCATAAAATGATACATTTTTCTCAGGGACGAACTTTCTCCTGACTTTGGGGTGTGAGTGTGGATGTAGTTGGATGCTGGACAAATAATTTCTCTCAATCATATCCATAACTAGACATGCTCCCAACACCCACCTACAGCCACACCCTAGTCGTAAAGACTATTCGAGTTTTACATGTATAGACGTATTTGACTTTCAAATTACTTCGATTAGCTTTTAAATTCATCCTAATAAGGTACTTACCACAGTTAAATATTTTTAAAACAAAAAGTCGTAATCCTTGAATGATGTGTTGTTGATGGCTTTAGCATATATTTTATACCCCGAGGCCGTTATTCTTTTTTATCAAATAAATCTTATGTTACTGTTCAAAGATTGCAATATTTTACTTATCTTATCTTTCTTGTTTTTATTCTATTTGAATATCATTCGACTGTGAACTTTGTTGAGAATAACTGCTTTTATCAAAAGTAAAGCATTCAAGATGAGAAGTTTACCATGAGTGCCATCAAGGAAAAAATCGTTCTGGGTACGGCTATTGGTTCGTGTCTCAATGCAAGACAAGACAAAAGAGGAGCCTACACTCACACCTATACATACCCCGAACCACACCCTATTTTTTGATTAATGGTATTATGTTTTTATGACTTTAATCTTTCGAATATTATAGTCAAAAGGTGACCTTTTTTTTTGTTCTGAAACTCATTCTTAGTATATATTGTGACTGCTGTCTTTCGCTTTGTTTGTTAATATGGAAAATAAAGTTATTGTAGTATCAAATAGCAAAAGTTCGTTAGAGGTTGTCATAATTTCGACTTCGATTTGACTCCGAAATTTTTTTTTTCAGTAAACCCGACTCCGACTCCGTCGAAGTCAGTCAAGCCTAAATCCAAATCCAAATTCAATTCCTGGATTTGACTGGATTAGAATTTGGTGCACCTCTAGCAAAAGCTATATACCTCAAACTTTGTAGTGATTTAATACCAGGTAGATGTAATAATCTATCACAGTTACAAAAAGTTTGCTTTTATTGAATTCAAGAATGATGAATTTTAGAATCGTTTCAGAGCTTCTGAGATATATTTTATATATATATGTATATCAGAACGAATGGAAACGTCCAGCGAATGAGAAGAGAAGATCGGTATTAGGACAATTAGTAGCGGATAGTTCGTCACGTAATGAAAAAACAAATAACATGTGAAACTACGATTCTTTATTTCACCAAACAGGCGAAAGTAAACTCGGCAAGTCCTGAAAATTGCTCTTCACCCTCACTAGAGTCGGTGGAGTCGATGCCTAGAGTTTTTTATCGATTAAATCCAGATTCATATCTAAGATAATGGCCACTACAAATAACAAATTCCATCAATTTCTTTTTTATTTCTATTCGCTTCACGCAAAGCGTAAGCTTTAACTTTTTTATTTAATACAATTGAGCAAAAGTACAAAACTCTTCTTAATGATAATATCGACATATAATTATAATTATAAATATTAGAACAAAGCCTGTAGGATTCGCTCTACATTCCATTTTCATAAACTCTATTAAGAAGCGGGTTTGAGTTGAACTTGAAAAAATATTTAAATCCATTGCAAATCGGAACTCATATTCAAAAAAATTGAACTGGCTAAAGTCAATAACAAAAAATTCGACTCGATTAGGTATAATCTTCATCTTTAATTTCAAAAAGAGTCTCAAACTTAAAGAAAGCCTCATTTGAGAAACTCATTGATCAGATCACTCGACTTCTCGTGACATTTGATAATAATCAATTCTCAGGATAGTCAAAAAAAGAATTCCAGCCAATGCCACATTACGAATAGCAGTATCTATTTACAGGTTTTTTGTGAATATCCTCTTCAATTGTTATACAATATGACGAGCTGTCCATGACTAATTGACCACAACAAATTGTTCTGCGACTAATTGTCTAGTCACTGAGAAAGTAAGCTGTACAATGAATACATCAAGAGGAAAGGAGGAAAAATTCATAGAACGAAAGAAAAGAAAAAGTCCATATAACAGACAGACAGAACGAAAGAATAAATCCATATAATATATAATAAAAGAAAAAATAATAACATGAATATAGAGAAAAGAGTAACGAAAAAAAAAGAAGCTGGTACTACCTCACAGTTGTTACCAATCAACATGCACGTCACAAAACAAATTATTCTTCACGTTGTTTCTAGAGTGCATCAGTGCAGATATATATAAAAGGCAGTAGAATGACGAGGCAAAAAAAAAGAGAACAAAAAGAAAAAGATAAAAACGATGGCCCATTATATTGTATGGCCATTTTGTGCTAAAAATATGCGCACATTCGCACACACATCATTTATCTACCAAGAAAAAAAACAAAAACGTTTTTTGTCATATAATACTGAGTAAGCGTAATACTAGAATTCAAATGTAACACAATGGAAAACAACATTGAGCAACTTGCTTCTGAACTTGTGATCTCATCATCAAACGATATACTTCATAAGATTACATCCGTTTTAGAACAACAAACTTCTGAATCATTATCGTCATTTATCTCTCAGTCGTTTCAATCCTTATTGACTATCGAACATTGGGCATGGCGAA